CTGTCCGTGAGTACCTTGAGGGAAGAGATGACATAATTTTTATCCCCGTGCCCCCAGACCTAAGCACAGGGCCTGGCTGCCCCAAAGTCCTACAACAGGAAAAGGCACAGCTGGGACCTGAACCCAGGGCCCTCTGGTGCACAGTCCATGCTCTTTAGTCCACCTTGCTATGGAGGCTCGGCACGAACTGAACTGAACAACTGAACGAAGAGCTCAAGGACCTGTTAGATGAGGGCATCTGAGGGGAGCGTGCTCGGGCCAGGAAGCAGCAGGAGACAATACTGCTCAATGCTCTTCTCCTAGCTCCTGTAGGCACTAAAGATGAACATCAGACAGCATGGACTCCAGAAGGTACCTGTTTAGGGACCACGGGGAGGAAAGGTGGCAGGTGGGTGGGCAGCATGGAGTCACCTCGGTTGTAAACTGGCTCTGCTTGCTTATGCTTGCTGTGTGGCCCTCAGCCACTCTCCTAACCTGAGCCTCTGTTTTCCCAAACTCTGTCAACCTACAAAACGTAAGAATCCTTAGAGAAGGATCTGTGCCCTCAAGGAACTTACAGTCTGGAGGAAATCCAGCTGAGACGCCACTCCCCCCGTGTTCCTGCGTAGCTCCCTTCCTTCCCCAGGCCTTCCCTTTAAAGTGAGGGGCTTGCCCTGCGGAGGCGGCTCTAAAGAAACCAGTATGCTGCACAGACTGAGATCCGGTTCTCACATCCTAGGCCAGCAAAAGGGATAGCCCGGTCCGCAGGACAGGCAGCTTACATGTGGCTGGCACGCGATGGCTGCTTAATAAAGCCCCGGAACTGTCACCCTGTAGGCACTAGAATAGGATACCAGCGATAAGTCACTGGATCCTGAGGAAGCCTGCACCACCACCACCGAGTCAGGCAGGTCTAGCTTCTAAAGCAGCCCCACTGCTCAGCCTCTCACTGAAGGACCCAGAACTCATTCGCTCGGCACCCAGCACCCAGCACCCAGCCTGGCCTGGCTGCTCCTTGCCGCACAGAGCACAAAGCTCCTGTGTTCTGCTCCTTCTGCTTTTCTAGCCTAGAGCACTGAAGAGCTGAGGGAACCTGACTTCTTCCCTCAGCCCTCCTCCTCAGAATGGCCATTCCCACATGGCCCTTCATCCTGGAATTCATTGAATCGTGGCATAGTCTGCCTTTAAATTGCTACGATGGGTTGCCTACCAGCCACTTACACCTTAGTATGAATTTAACTAGCTAAGCTTGCTTTTCCTCCTGGAACTAATCTGAAATCAAAGAAATAGGAAAGGGGTGGAGATTTTTGCAGAGAGCAAGATGGCTGGAGTTTAGGCAAGGAACCCAGATTGTCAAGGCTCTAGGATTTAAATTTGGAGGTGATGTAGATATGAGGTGAGAATATTGTGTCGATATTCAGCAGAGAGCTAAAACAAGAGTGTCTCGGGTCTGCCACCCCCCCCCACACACTGATGCGTTCCTGCCTGCCCGGCTGTGACTGAGCCTCAAAATTCCCACCATTCCTTCTAAAGTGGCCTCAACAACAGGACGGGAAAGTGAAGCGGAGACCTTGGACAGGGTAAAAATAGACAGCCACCACCCAGGCGCTGGGACGGTCATTGTGAAAGACAAACAAGGGCAGCTCCATCATGGGGCCACAAACACCCCACTCCAGCAGGACACCCATCCCGAGGCCCTGAGACGGGGCAGGCTCTCCGGACAAAGGGAGACAGGGTGGGCTGGGCAGCGGAGGGGGCGGAGGCAGCTCTCTGGGTGGTCTGCAAGGTTTGCCTGGTGGTCACACTGAAGAGCCGAGTCCCGACCTCTAGCCAGCTCCTCACCCCTATCCTTGGTACTTAAATTGGGACTGGCTGCCCCCAGGCTCCTTTGATCACTCTATATTGCCCCCCACCTTCTCCGTGTGACTCCCAGTAGGGGATGGGAACCCTTGCTGTAGAATGCTAGGCAGGGCTCTCAGGACGGGAGAGCTGGGCAGTCACTGCTCAGGCTCCCATTCCACATCTGCCACTTACAAATGTGTGAATTTGGGCAGCTGGCCCAACAATGAGCCTCAGTTTCCTCACCTATAAAATAGGGAGAATCACATCTGAGTCTCTTGAGTTGTGACAGAGTCCAAGAGATGAAGAATGATCAGCACTTAGCAAGGTGCTAAGTAGTGAGTCAATAAATGTCAGCGGTTATCACCAACAGCAGTATTATCTGTCCTTGAATATCAGACACCTTGTCCCTGGCTCTGGCCCACACATTCCTCCCCTCACCTTTCCCATCTCACCTCCCACCCTGCCCTTGGGCACAACCCTGCATTCCATCTTTGCTGGATGACTCCTGCCTTCATCACCCAGAGACCAGCACAGCTCTGGGCCTTTTCCCAAACCGAGCCTGTCCTTCCGAGCCTGTCCTTCCGTGTGACCACCACCCCAAGTCTGAGCTCCCTGGAGGCAGGGCGGTGCCAGGCCATTAGTCCCCAGAGTCTCACAGCACAAGTCAACTGGCAAAGCCGAACAGTGAAGTGAAACCTGGAGCAGGAGGAGATGCATGTGACCACCATCAGACCCCATGTAATCATCCCCCCCCCCCCCGATATCCCAAACTTCCTCCCCAATTCCATCACCCCTTAGAATTACAAAGCCACTGCATGCCAAATTTCCACATGAGAACCATGGAGTCCTGGCCCACAGGGGAGAGCAGCAGGGGCTTTCTCCGTGGCCAGGACCAAAAACTGCTCTGGGATAACTAACAGGGACCCACTGGACCCCAAAGGCAGCCAAACACAATGGCCCCAGGGTCTCCAAACCCCCCCTCCCCCCCCTCCAGCCCCCAGAGCGCTCTCTCCTGGAAACCAGATGGGTGCGGGGCCTCGAGCAGGTGCTACGGAGTCTGCTCCTTCCTGCCTGAGCCACACACCAGGCCCGCTCTGGGGAGACAGAGATCAAGAGACTACGACTGTTCGGCCACATTAGTTCAGTGGTGAAGGACTGACTATGAACCAAGAGATCACGGTTTGATTCCTGTCCGAACACTTGCCGCAGTTGCGGGACTGATTCCCCAGTAGGAGGCCTGCAGGAGGCAGCTGATTAATGATTCTTCTTGATGTTTCTATCTCTCTCCCCCCCTCTCCCTTACTTTCTGAAATCAAACAAAATATTTTGTGTGTGTGTGTGTGTGTGTGTGTTTTTAAGAGAGACTATGACTATGAATACACCATGAACTATAACACATTTTCACACAATGGAGTTTCACCATTAATGATAGAGGGTAGGGGGAAGTAAAAAAAAAATTACCTATTATCCATCCAACCAATGCTAATGTGATCCACAAAATTAAACACACTCAGGGACACAGAAGCATGCATTCAGACATACTTTTAATCCTCTTCTTCAGAATTATATGTAGCTTTCATCCCCACAGCCACAGAGGAAAAAAGATGGGTTTATCTCTCCCCCCTCCTCCACTCCCTAACATCCACAATGTTTACTCCTTGTGTTCATGGGGTTAGGTCTGTCAGGAAAAGGCAGTGTAACCAAACAGGGCCAAAAGGCAGAAAGAAAACAAAGGGGCCCAGCTAGAGGGACCACCAGAAACCAAAGGGCGAGTAAGATCCAGAGGACCTAGTCCCCAGTGCCAGCTGTGCCACGCGTCCCACTGATGTGACCCTCACAAGCCACTTCCTGCTCCAGCGTCTAGTTTCTGTATCCTGGAAACAGATGCAGTCTTATGATCTCCCGCGGTTGTGGTGGAACAGAGAATGGATGGGGAAGGGTCTGCAGATGGGGAGTGGCCAGGCAGCCAGCTTCGTGTAGAGTCACGGGGAGAATGTGGCAAGAACGACAGACAGAACTTTGTGTAAACTCAGTTTATCAGAGGTACATGCAGAAAAGTGTGTGTGTGTGTGTGTGGCTGTGTGTGTGTGTGTGTGTGTGTGTGTGTGTGTGTGTGTGGAGGGGGGGGGGCGGGTAGAGGGAGACAAGACAGAACAGTGGTTAGGAGCACAGTGACAAATGGTTCTGCTATTAGGTGCCCCTGGCCAAGTTCCTTTACTGCTGTTCGGAGATGATACAGGTAAAGGGCCCAAGCACAGACCATGGCCCAAAGTAAATACTTAACAGCTCTGGTCACTGTGGCTGCTATTATGACTTGGGTGTGGGGTAGAGGAAAGACAGCTCAGATGCAGGCAGAAACCCTCAAGCCAACATCCAGCCATGCAGCTCCAGCCTGGGGGGCTGTCACCGCATGGAGCACAGGGCCAGGCCACAAGGCCCAGCTGCCCTCATAGCGCACCACCCGCCGTTTTCCCAAAGGCTCCCACAGACCTTGGCACTCAAGTCCCTCCTGGCCCTCCATGCCCCCCAAGTCACCACCAACATCTTATTTCTCATGGGAAGCTTGATTCAGACATTCTTGGAATGTCCCTATGGCCAACTCTTAATTGCAAGGGGTGGGAGCTCCAAACTAGTGTTCTCTCTGCAAACGAGCCCAGCATCCACTGCTCAAGGAAGGACAGGGAAACCAGCGGCCTCTGGCAAACGCCCTCCTTACCAGACCCTCCTGTTACACCCACGCGGGTCCCCCCTCTTCTGACACCTCACATAGCTCCTTCCCCAGAGTGGGGGATGGACGGGAGGAGAAACCCATGAAGAGAAATGTGTGCACACACATCCATGTGCTGCCTCCCAGCAGCTGGGAGAACAAGATCCCTTGCTAAAAGGAGAGATGAAGAGCTGTGCCGGGCCTTACTCACTTCCACAAGACAAGGCAGAGACAATTGGATAAAAGGGGGATCGACAGACATTTCAGGTTACCATTTTGAGGTCTCATTCTTAACCCCAAGAACACCAGTGATGAAGAGATGGGCAGTCTTCCCATCGGAGGGCTGAGAGGAAAGGGGGAAAGAAAAGGAGTGGGGATATCAAAAGGGCCTCCATCCAGCACCACGCCCATCTGGCCCCCACTCTTGCAAAGTTCAACACCACGGCAGCGTGCAAAGAAAGAAAATGCCAACCTGAGAATTCACCCGGAGCAGTGATGAGGGAGTTGGTGGCCTCCGTTTCAGTGTAAGACAATGTGGAATCAGATAGATCTACGGGAGGAAAGAGAGAGAAAACTTAGTTGGCGCTGGGGCGTGCCTCCCGTCTCGGCTTTCTCATGCATCCGTGTGCACGTGTGTGCACACAAGTGCCTGCAAGGGGCAGGGTGTCCCTCCCAACGGATGCCACTCTGTGACCCTGTCCCATACTTGTACGAGACCAGTTAGCCAGCCAACCAGCCCTGGAATTCTTCTGGAAAATGCCGACGACTGCAGCCCTGGCACCTGAAAAAGTTGCAACTGCTCTGACCACAGAAATAACCCAAGTTCTGGGGACCGAGCAAGTAGCAACTTGGAGCCTCCCTGGGTACGGTTAAATTAAGCCCCTAAACAATTCATAGCTGCTGTACTTAATTACAACCATTAAAATTCTTGAAGTTGTTCCTTCTTGCTTCCTTCCTTCCTTCCTTCCTTCCTTCCTCTCGCTGGAGCTGGGGAAACTGTTTTAACAAGTTACCAGCCACCCCCCCTCTGTCCCGCTTACACCCCTCTAATTAAGGGCTCAAGCGTTTGCTCCCAGATTAAGTTTTTTTCTCTCCCCACCTCCACTCCCTAACATTCCAACCTGCTCACAGAGCAACTTTCAATGCCTGGACTGTGTGTTGTTTTTTTTAAGGGGTTCATTTTTGTGTGAGTAGTTTTAAGTGCTTCATATGGCGTGCATTATTTGTTTTCCCCAGTCTGCAGTGCCGTTAGATGGGAAAAGGAAAATCTTTTGCACGTTTTTTTTTTTTGTTTTTTTTTCCTTCTTTTTTTTTTTTGAACACTGAGCGGCTCGCTTAATAAGCCAATGCCTTTTGGGGCAGGCAGACTTGGAAAATTTTTCCTGGGCCTGTGCCTCCTGCTACCAGTGATGGGGTGTTGTTCCCTGTGAAGGGACAGGCCTGCCCGGGAGTCGGAAGAGGCATGCCCTGTGAGGTCTGCAGCACTTTCGTCATCTCACCCAGCACAGCCCAGGTCTGGGTCGGCGGGTCCCACCTGGCTCAGGAGAGGCGCCCAAGCTAGGGATTCCTGAGGACAAACGGCTAGCCTGGGGCCCGGGCCCTCGCTAGCTAGGATTCCATTCGATCCTGCAGGATTATTTTTTTCCCTTTTACCACATGGCTTGGGAGAGCGGGAAGATGAAACATTAACCAATTTGCCCTCTTTTTCTTCTCTCTTTTTTTTGTAATCTTATTTCCCACTTGCCAGATGCTGACTGGGTGTTCTGAGTTTTATTTTGTTTTTAGAATCATGTGATCACAGAGGCTTAGAAGTGAACTGACTTTTTGTTTATGCAAAAGCAACAATGCAAGGAAAAGAAAATAATACAAAAAAATAACTCAGGCTATTTATCAGGGCATGAAAAAGTTATCTGGGTAAAACGTATCTGGAGGAAAATAAGGACAGATGGGAAAATCTCTTAAAAAAAAAAAAATATAACCTCAATGCCTCAGTAGGATCTTCTTAAAAGATTGTTCCTTTTAATACTTGATGTTCCCAAAGAGTGCAGCACCCCGAGTCTCATTATCACAGACTGAACCCCATTTCTCAGTGAACCACTGTGGGTCTAACACAGACAGCTGTGAGGTTCCCAGGAGGGACAACAACAGGCAGTTTCTACCTTTTGCAGCTAGTAAGTCCCCATAATGCACTCTGCAAACCCTCACATCTGTGCTTCTAAGAGAGGCCCTACAAGTCTGAAGTGTCTTTGGGCTGCTGTAGAAAAAGAACACTCCCCATCTCCAGCACTGCTCCAGCCCCAAGGACAGACCCGGCCAGAAGTCGGAACCCCCAGGTTCAAGTCACACCTCCACTCTTAGCAAAATCGGGGGTCACCAACTTTTTCTACGAAGGGCCCGACAGCACGTATTTTCAGACCTGCGAGCCATACAGCCTCTGCTGCAACTATTCACCTCTGCCGCTGCAGCGTGGAGGCAGCCGCAGACAATGTGGTAACGGGGGAGTGTGGCTGTGTTCCAGAAGAACTTTATTGCAAACACTGAAACTGGAATTTCGTACAATTTTCACATGTCATGAAATGTTATTCTTCTTTTGATTTTTTTTTTAACCATCTAAGAACGTAAAAAACCATGCTTAGCTCGCAAGCCCTACAAAAACAGATGGCGAGCTGTCGTTTGCAGACCCCTGAGCTATATGACCACCAGCAAGTGTCACTTCCTCTCTCCAGGCCTCAGTTGTCCCATTCGTAAAATAACCGGGACACCTGTTGACTTCCAAATGGTCACTCTGCAGGGCTAAGTGGCGTCCTGCATCACAGGCTAGCCCACAATTCCTCAGGGCAATGATCCTTGACATTCAAGCTGAGTTTACTACTTTACTAAGAACATTTGAGGGTGTTTTTTTTTTTTCCCCCTCTAATGAAACTAGGGACCTTCTAAGCGACTCATGCAATTATGCTAACGTAAGAAATGCTGAGACAAGCCTGTGAGGGAAGAAGGGGGAACAGTGAGCTGAAAAGGGGGCGGCGCTGGGTCGAGGGGGGGAGAGGGGGGGGGGGCCCTCCCTACCCCTCACTTTATTTCCCCGTCTATGAAGTGACAGAGTCCAGCCAGATGGCCTTCCCTGTTCCCCAGAAAACTAAACAAAGCTCCTCCACCCATGGGACGACCATTTGACAAGAAAAACAGAGAGGAGCATGCTGTCGTTGAACCTCTGACTCACACACCATCATGGGACACCCTCCGTCCGCCTGGACAGAGGAGGTCAGAGTCCTGGAGGGACCCGGCGGGCCCTTGTGCCTCCACAGGAGGGCCTGGAAGGAAAACGGGGCTGGGTGCCTGAGCGCCGAGGACACTTAGAAGGGACCTCCCAGATAACGCTGAAACACGCTATTGAGAAGAGCCTTTACCAAAAACAAAACAAAACACACACTTTTTGTGGTCACTCGGTGGAATGTGTGAGCAGCACTGCCACGCCATCTGACTTTTAAAGTCTAACCGAGTCCCGTGGGAACTGTCTGGGTCACAAAGCTGTTCTCCTGGGGCTATTGAGGCCAAATGAACTCACCACACCACCAGCCTCCTCCCCTGGAGGGCACAGGAGGGCCAGGACACAAGCCATCTCCACCTTGGAAACCACACACATGTACACGGAAGACAAGCAGCTCGTCTGGCCCCACGGTTTGCAGAGAACACATTCTACCTGTGCCAGGGCCTCTGTGCACCGATGCAAGTGCTTTCTTAAATGTCCAACTGTGGTGCCTGCCCAGGTAAACTTTTTGGCTTCAGAAGGGGAAAAACCTCACAGCTCCTCTCCACGGGGACTTCTTGCTCAACCTATCTGTCATAGTAACAATTAATACACACCAAAGGAGAAGAACCTAAGACTGGGGGGAGGGAGAGAAAGGAAAAGAGACAAATACCAACCCACCCCCGATGAGATGCTTAAGGCCAAACCCATTCATCTCCCAAGGTCTCTTTTTAAAGGTCACAGAGAGGTTAATGACAAGCGGAGGAATTTCGAGATGTAAATAGCCCACTGGAGAGGCTGTCTGCGCCCGCCCCACTGAGGGTGTGTTTGTAATACTTCTCCCCATTTCAGAAGCAGCCAGGCCGGCTCCCCCCCCCCTCGCCCCTCCACCCCCACCCCTCCAGCCCTTGGGCTCGGAGGCTGGGCACTGGAATGAAGGGGCACCCTGGTCGGACACCCCCCCCAGGGTCGGAAGGAGGACACACTTACCCAGTGGCTTGTACTCGTCGAGAGGAGACAGCCGAGAGTAGGGAGGTGGTGGTGATTCTGGAAGACAGGAGACAGCATGTCACTGCCGGGGCGGGAGAGGTCACCCTGGGGATTCCGCTACAAGCTTTTCATTATGGATTCCCTCCTGTAACAATCCCAGCTCCCAGGAAGCCCTCCTTTCCTCCCATCAGCTCTGCTGCCCAAATCCACTGGAGCATCACTGCTCAGCAGTAAGGCCCAGGCATAGGCCCAGACCCGGGGTCAATCCCTGCTCTGCCACCTCTGGCTGTGCGGCCTTGGGCAAGTGACTTCCTCGGAGCCTGTTTCCTCGGCTCTACAGTGGTGACACTAGCCCGGGCCAGTGTGTGTGGCTCAGTTGGTTAGGCATGGTCCTGTGCACCAAAAGGTTGGCTGGTTCATTTCCCAGTCAGGGCACATGCCCGGGTTGCAGGATCGATCCCCAGTAGGAGGCATGCAGGAGGCAGCCAATTGATGTTTCTCTCTCCCTCTCCCTTCCTCTCTCTCTAAAAAAAAAAGAAAGAAAAAAGAAAAAAAGAAAAGAAAATCAACCAATAAGAAAACATTTCTTATGAATAAAAATAAATAAAACGGTGACAATAATCATATGGACCTCCCAGGTTTGCCAGGTGGGTGAAAGAAGATAATGTATATAAAACACTTAGCACAGCTCTTGGTACTGTAGAAAAATACCTCCACAAACACTTAACTGTTATTATTGTAATGAGAAACACAGGTGCAGGGAAAAGCCAGAGCCAGGGCTGCGTGATAAAATACCAGATGTTCAGGTAAATTTGAATTTTGGATTTCCGTGGCATAGCTTCTGGTATAAGTATGTCCCTCACAATATTTGGGACATCCTTATACTAAAAAGGTAGGTGTTGTTTACCTATAATTCAAACTTAACTGGCATTCTGTATTTTTATTTTGCTAAATTTGGCAACTCTAAGCAGAATGGAGTCTGAGTGCAGAGGCTCAGACACAGAAGCTCATTTCCCATAAGCTGCATTAGAAGTAGCATTCTTGCTGAAACTGGTTTGGCTCAGTGGATAGAGCGTCAGTCTGCAGACTGAAAGGTCCCAGGTTCGATTCCAGTCAAGGGCATGTACCTTGGTTGCGGGCACATCCCCAGTAGGGGGTGTGCAGGAGGCAGCTAGTTGACGATTCTCTCTCATCGATGTTTCTAACTCTCTATTCCTCACTCTCTCTAAAAAAAAAAAAAAAAAAAAAAAAAAAAAATCAATAAAAATATATATATTTAGAAGTAGCATTCTTTGCGGCAAGGAGGGCAAGGTTGGTTGGGACCAGAGAAGCCATGTCCAGTTACCGAGATGTGAGACCTTAAACCAGTCACTGCCAGCCCTCGGCCTCAGTCCCCCCACTTAGCCAAGGGGTGGGACACAAGCTCTCCACTGCCTTCCAGCTCAGGCCCTGTGTGATTCCTTATTGTCTAAGGCATTTTTCTTTTGGTTTCCTTTCATTTGCCTAAAATACTCCCCCTTGAAAACATATACTTTGTCTTCAGAAGAATTCCTTAGCCTCTTGCTTTAGGGGAAGTAACAATTTGCTAAACTAAGTAACAATTTGCATGAATGAAATGACCCTTCATTTTCCCTAAATGAAACTAAACACCATCAAATCGCAAACTAAAACAAACTCTCAGTAGTAGTAAAGTGGTAATAACTATTATTAGGCAGGTATCAGTAATGACACAAGGGGTAATAAGTGTTTTTCGTAATTATAATAAGGCACAATTAGCTGTAGGAGCATTTGTTTTGCTCCATACACCCTATGCAGCTTCAGCTCTTCCCCACCCTGGCTTTTCCAGCCAGAAATTATTTCAACAAAGTGGAGGCTCCGAGGTCTCGAAACAGGGCACCTTTTGTGGACAGTATTCAGAAAGGAGAAGTGAATCATGGAGTAGTTCCTAGGAGGGAAAGACGACCCTGTGCCTCCATGCCAGGCCTTTTCAATGTCATTTATTGTATTTTATTCTCTTGGACCTTAGGTTCAGAGTTGCTCATCGGGCATTTACTTTTATTTTATCCTTTCTCAGAGACAAAACGGTCAATATTCCCATTTTACAGAGGAGAAGACTGACTTGCCCAGTGTCTCCCAGCCAATCATAGTAAAACTAAGATCTGAGTCCAGGCTGACTCTGCTCTACACCCCAACAAGACAGGTAGTCAAAAGGCACCCCATCTTCCACCCCTTCATCCCGGCTAAGTCACATCATCCGCAGACAAAGTGCTCAGTGAGTGTCTGTGGACCAAGACAACAGTTATGAGGATAATGGTCAAGTTGGGGGCACCAGTGGACAAAGGTGTGGATAATGAGGACTTAAGGGCCAAAGTGATCACGGGAGACCCCAACCAGGACTCCAAGAGGCGAGTTATTTGCCGTCAGTAGGAGTCACCTACTGGTCCTCAGGACTTGGAGGGCTAGAGACCAGATGTGAGAGGCAGCCTCTCAGGACAAGGGTCAAAACACAGGTAGCTAGCATTCCACGGGGAAGGAGACAGCAGGCTGGTGCTCCCACTGGACAGAAGGCTGGGGCCTGGACTGTGGAAGTGACTCCCTCGGGGCCAGATAGGGAGCTGGCTGTAGAAGACAGGTCTCCTGACCCCCAGCCTCAGGCTCTTTCCACACTATCCCACCAACTTATCAGAAGGACTGCAATTACTGTGTTAGGGTTCCTTTGGCAAAAATCGGAAAGACTGCCCTGACCCGTTTGGCTCAGTGGATAGAGCATCGGCCTGTGGGCTCAAGGGTCCCGGGTTTGATTCTGGGCAGGGGCATGTAACTTGGTTGCGGGCTCATCCCCAGTAGGGGGTGTGCAGGAGGCAGCTGATCGATGTTTCTCTCTCATTGATGTTTCTGGCTCTCTCTCCCTCTCCCTTCCTCTCTGTAAAAAAAAAAAATCAATAAAATATATTTTTACAAAAAAATCTGAAAGGCTGAGGCCCAGGCCACACAAGGTGGGAGGCTCTGTACAGCTGCCCCCCAGAGATGTCCCCAAAAGTGCAACTTGGCAGCAATGGACAGTGGTGAGAGTCAAGCCAGTGTCCGTCGTCAACCCCAGTGTCTCTTGCAGAAGCCACATGCCATCCATGGCCAGGCCTGCGCTGGAAGGGTGCTAGTGACATGAGTGAGACGGAAAGCATCTACAAACCTGAAATGTCACACACACCAGCTACAGGGAACTGCAAAACTCCCGGAAAGACTTTCCCGGGCCCCCATTTACACCAGCAAGGCCATTTGCACAGAACTGTAACCACTGTGGGGACTGGAAGCCAGTCACTCACTTCTATACCCGGCAAGTGAAAAGTGATAAAGCACTCACTTCTGCAGACCTCACCCCCAGCAGGAGGAATTAGAATGTCAGAGGTTTGCCTTACTCAACTTCTTGGAGTTCACCCAACTCAGCTTCTTTTAAATGATGGGGCAACTGAGATCCAGCAAGATAAAGGACCAGCCCAAGGCCACATAGAAAAGTACAAGTTACTCTTTCAATTATACAAAAGGGGAGGCCAGTTGGGGACCAGTATCAAGTTACCTTTTCTTGAAAAATTGTATCATCATGCACACTCTTAAGATTCCACTCCGTTGAGGTATACAAGTTAGTGGTTTTTAATATATTCTGAGTTGTGAGACCAACACCACTACCTAATTATAGAACATTTTCATCACCCCCAAACTTCAAATCCAGGCAATCAAAAATAATCGACTTCCTCTCTTCAGGGATTTTTGCCTATTCTGACCATTTCACACAAATGAATACATGTATGACCTTTTGTGTCTTGGCTTCTTTCACTTAGGATTGTGTGTTCAAGGTTCATTCACATTGTAGCATATCATTCTTTTTTTAAGGCTGAATGATATTCCATTGTATGACATTCCATTGGATATATCATATTTTGTTCATCCATTCATCAGCTAATGGACATTTGGGTTGTTTCCACTTTGGGGCTATTGTGAATAGTGCTAAGAACAATACTGGGAAACCTTTTCAAAAAAAAATATTTTTTTTATTGATTTCATAGAGGAAGGGAGAGACAGAAACATTACTGACTAGAGAGAATAATTGATCAGGGGCCTTCTGCACGCCCCCTACTGGGGATGGAGTCCAAAACCCTGGCATGTGCCCTGACTGGGAATCAAACTGTGACCTCCTGGTTCATAGGACTGAACCACTGAACCACACTGGCCAGGCCTGGGTAACCTTTAACCGGCACCTCCACTTCCATATATCCAGGCCCTATGGGATCTGGGAGAACAGAGCTCCAGGACATTAAATCAGGTGAGCAAGGTGGGCACTCAGGTCAGACACGTGATATGTAAAACAAAAGGTTAGACAAGAAAGGTGTGAGCTGCCCTCAGACCTTCTGTTCACTCCCTTCTTAAAAGCTCAGTGCTTGCAAACGTTGTGTTATTTAAAAATGGTAACTTTTAAGAGTCCTGCAGACCCCTCTGAAAGAAATGAACATGGGGGGAGGGGGGGCGCGGAGGAAAAGAGAGAAAAGGAGAGGAAGAAGGAGAAAGAGGCAGGAAGATCAGAAACTGCAGTTCTCTCAGACATCTAGCTTCAGGCATCAACTTCAGGAATCTCCTCCAACTTCCTCCAGAAGTGAGAGAGCAGTCAGCCAGGGGCCGCCAGTACCAGGAGACTAATGCTCAGCCCAGCCCAGCCCAGCCTGCCTCTGCTCAGTCCCCGGAGGATACCTGGCCTTTTGGTATCTATCGAATTCTAGAGCCAGAAAAGTTCACAGCCTCTCTCAGCGGCTGGTCAAGTTTCTGTTTGGGGCACTACTTTCCACCCCCCATCCTTACAGCTCAGCCTCTTGCTTAGGAGGGGCTGCACAGACCTCCCTGGGCCTCCCAGCCTCCACCTTACCAAGTCTGGCTGAGGATGGGGAGGCAGCCTCCTGGGGCCGGTCCTCTCCTCCCCCAGAAGCCTTAGGTGCAACCCCAAGCCCGGGGGTGGGGAGACACAAAAAGGGAGCTCCTGGCACTTTAAGGCCGGCGGAGCCTAATTGCCCAGATTCCCCCCGGCAGCCAGATAAACAGCGCGGCCGGCTGGCGCCAGCAAGAGGCAAACTGCACATTATCACCCCTTCCTCACCTCCAAGGAGGAGCTCCGAGGAGCAGGGCGGGCAGGCCAGAGGGGTGGGGCGGGGGCTTGGAAGCCCAACTTGAAATTGATCTCATTTCAAAGGGATAATGCCAGGCCAAATAAAAGGAAAACTTTCTAGCCCGTCCTAATTCCCGTCGTCCTGGCCTGGGAACCCTGTGTTTTCCTAGGCGGCCTCCTACAGTCGTTTAGAAGTTCTCTCTCTCACTCTGTCTCTTTCCCTGGCGCAATTTGGATAATAGTAATTTACTGAATATAATTACAGAAAAAAAAAAAAAAAAACGCGGTGAAGCAAAGAGCAGGAGATTTATTCCAAAGTTAATGGATACTTTCAGGAGAAAGGAGCTCTATAAACACAGGTTGGAACTGTGATTAAAGTATTTCTCCACATTTCCGTCCACATAGGCACCAAGCTCAGTGAACTGGGCTTTTTCCCTGGACAGAAAGACACACAAGAGGGAGAGGGGGCGCCAGGGATCGACTCCCACGGGGGATGGGGAGGCACCAGAGCTGGCAGAGGGAACCCCCTTTCTGAGACAAGCCCTGAGGGAGAGGGCAGGGTAGGGCAGGGGAGGTAGGCCAGTGTCATCTCAAATCTGCCTGTCAGACCTCGGGGCTTGTGCCTACCTACCCTCACCACGTTCCAGACGGGAAGACACCCAAAGAAAACTGGCCCCAATGACCCACAGCAAGTTCCTAGTGGAACAGGGTTTGCTCTGAGCAGCAAGGGTCTGCACTGCCCAGAAAGGGAGGTCCTGTCACTGGGGGTCCCTGTTTGGATGAGGGGGCACTGACGTGACTGGCACCAGGTGGGTGCCCCTCCGTTGGCCTGCTGGGTGCTTCAGTGTACTCTGTCTGTCTGTCTGTCTGTCTGCCCCAGTGCCCCAGCCCTCTCCCCCAGAGCCCTGGAAGGAGCAGTCTCCTTATCAGGACTCGCACGACTGAGCTCCAGCTATGCAACCGCCCAGCTCTGGGAGCCAGGCTGGCGGCCAGCTGGTGGGGGTGGGGTGGGCAGCAAAGGGTTCCCCAATCCTCAGTCCCAGTCTCCTCCTCGGCCCAGGCCATTAGGCAGGGGAATGAAGCGACAGGATAGGGTCCACCTGAAACTCTTCCAAGACGACCAGTCCTCCCCAAAGCCCCCAGGATAGCTTAAAAGGGGTGCCCCTTGGGTTGGGGAAGAGAAAGAACAGACATAGCCCCTGCAATAGTGCCTCCTTCTGGGAGCAGGAAGGGAGTCAGATGCCAGTGCTCAGCCTAGAATTAGAGGTGGAGAATATTCCTGGAGCCACCTCCACTGACCAGTAGGGACGAGCAGGGCAGGTTACTCATCCAAGGTCAAGTCCTGTCACTGGCCAAGCCGAGCCTAGGACCAAGTCTGTGGTAAAGCACCATCCCACTGCAGTGTGTCTCTCGACGTGTACCTGCCCAGGTCCACCCAACTCAATCAACGCCCAAGACGACTTCTCAGACGAGGAGGAGGGACAACCCACCCATCATCCTTGGTAAGGGTGGGTCCTCTCTGTTGTCTCCAGCTTTCTCACTCCCCGCCTTCCCACCCATCCACACACCTGAGCTTGCCTGGCTGGCATCTTGATGCCCACCTCCCCTTACCCACTCTCCAAGGGTTAGAACTGTGGAGGCTCCCTGAGGTGGCCCTGTGACAAACACACCCCATAATGCTCTGACAGTTCACACACCCCCGACCTGGCCCTTCTCCCCCATCTCCACCCCAACTCCCCTGGAAGACTGTCTTTCTCGAGGGCAGGGATCCTACTCATATTTCCACTCTCTCTGCTACTGCATCCAGCCCGGTGTCTGGCACAGAGTAAGTGCTCAACAAATATCTGATGGCAGACCGACACGGTGAGAGAGGAAATACCTGCCAGGGCTTTCTAAAATAGCAGAGTGGGCCCCACCAGTGATCTCCCACTAAACTATGATGGCCAGAGAGGGACAGGGCAACCACAGACAGGGACCCCTCCCCAGAGGCAGAGAGGAGACAGGCTAGCAGAAGGGAGGCAGTCACTTCCAGGGGATGCTGTGAGAAAGAGGAACCAGGGGCACAGAGAGCCGTGGGCCACAGGACAGGGACAGTCAAAGCTCCTCAGTCAGGCCTGGAATGACAACCCATGTGGGCAGCAGGGCAGCCAGGTCATGCTGCCTTTCCCCACCCACCCCCTTCAGTAAACCACTGGGGCACCTTCTTTCCCCTCCAGCCACTACCCCCAGGCACACTCACAGGCCCACCCCTCCCTTCCACATTGGGAGGCAGGAGACCTGTGATCTGACCCTCTATGGACCCTCAGGCTGGGTGCTTGCTGGCTCCAGAGGGGCCAGACTGGAGAAACTCAGAGCCCTCCAACATCCAATTAACTCTTTGATAGGCACACCCCTGCAGAACCTCCAAAGCCACCTCAAAGATGCTACAGGTTAAAATGTGTGTTCCTGCAAGCTTCTGACCTGCTAAGAACTCCCACCTGTCCTCACCTCCGCTAAAGCACCCAGAGCATCCCCAGGTAAAGCTGGGCGGGGGGTTGGTATGTGTGTGCAGGAAGTCCCAGGAAGAGAACAAAGACAGGGAGCACTCCTCCGATGTAATAAAACACCTGGCTTCCCCTGCTCGCAAATGCCCCCAGGACCCTCAATTGGACACAAAAGCTGGACACAGAAATGAGAACGATGATGATGGAGAGCCCTCACACTTAACACGCAAGGGATGCTGGGAACAATCGGGTCAAGAGGGTGGTACCCACCTTGAGAAGGGTTACCCTGAAAAAGCTTTGCTCCAAAGGAACAAATGGGACAATTTGCAAACACTTTGACTCAGGCCACGAATTGTCTACACCCAACTTCACAACTAACTCTTGCACTTAGTTGTAAGAAAGTACAGCTTAGATATAGAGGCGTATGCGCACAAATGCTACAGCCTGAGCACAAACTGGGGGTCAATGAGGGGCCGCATCGCAATCTTTGGCTTCTCCTAGGGCCTACCTTTTCTCCCTGTAAAGTCGGAGCCTGAGAAACTACATAAAGAAAACTCCACCGTGTCCCTTTTTACGTTTGCTGGTGCCTTGATGAAGCTGCCATTTGATGTGTGTGTTCAGATCCCCTCCCCGGCAGGACCAGGGCGAGGTGCCTCCACTGAAGCTCCCACCACCCAGGGGCACCCCCACGGGACCACCCCAGCTCTGCCCACCCGAGGGGTCCGATATGAAAAGGCCACGGGAGGGGACCGGAGGGGGGACCCTGAGCCCAAGCCCATCCCTCGCCCGGAGCGGCGCGCTCACCTGGCCCGCAGAGCCGGCTGAAGTGGTAGGGGTTGCAGCACACCGTGGGGCCGTCGGCGGCGGCGGCGAAGCTGTGGCAGCCGCACAGGGGCTTGAGCTCCACCGCGTGCTGCAGGTCGGGCCAGCGGAAGAGGCGGCCGAGCAGCAGCTGCGGGGGCGCGGGCTGGCCGCCCAGGCGCAGGTCGGCGCGCGGCACCAGCACGCAGCCGCCCGGCACGCCGCCGCGGGACTCCACCGCCTCCAGCAGCGTGTCCAGCGAGCGCTCCTTGAGCCGCTTCAGCAGCGAGTACGTGACCGTCTTGAGTTCCTGCTCCAGCAGCAGCAGCCGCGAGCGGGCTTCGCGGCTCCGCCCGCCGCCCGCCGGCTCCGGGGCCGCCGCCCCGGCCAGGGGGTCGCCGGCGTCCCGGGGCGCGCCCGCGGCGTCCCGCTCCGAGAAGAGACAGCAGGTCACCGTCTCGCAGTCACTTTCGGGCAGCCAGCCGGGGCCTCCCGGCTCCGCCACGTCCAGCGGGAAGCCGCCAGCGCCGGCCCCCGGCTCCGACATGGGCCTCGGGGGGCCCCCCGCGCGCCGGCGCCTCGCCGCGCCCTGGGCGCCTCGCTGTCCCGCCGCGTCCCGGGGCCGCCGCGGGGCTGCTACCGGGCGGACCTCCGAGCGGCCGCAGCCTCCGCCGCCTTCTCGTGCCCGCGGGGCCGGCTCAGCGTGGCTGCCCAGGCTCCCATCCTCGTCGCCGCCGCCGCCGCCGCCGCTGCCGCCGCCTTCCTCCCGGTCGGGGACCACACGACTTCGCCAAAGTCGCCGCACCAGCCCCGAGCGTTTGGACCTGAACATACGATATCCTTGGGCGCCGGGGGTGGGAGGGAGGCGGTCTCCGGTTACCGCGGGTCCGTTCCCTCAGCGAGGCGCCGGCTGCGCGGGCCGCAGCCCCACATGAAGCACCGCCGCCGGGCGCCGCCGTGCAGACCGCGCACAGCCCGTCGTCGGAGGGGCGCCGCGGGGCTGCAACATGAGGGAGCTCCCCGGGCGGGGGGCCGGCGAGGAGCACACGCGCGCACGCCGAGCCGAAGTCTGCGCCCAGCCCGCGGCTACATGGACCCCGGCGGCCGGGCTGCTCAGCAACTCCAGCCCCGGCGGCGCTCGGGGGGGACCGCGGGCGGCGCGCCGCCAGAAAGTCCCCGCATGGGCCGGCGAGCCTTCAGAAGTTGCGCGGCTGGTCCATGAGCACAAAGCGCTCGCTCGCGCCGAACCCCCCAAAGGTGTGCCTGGGAAGCCCTCCCTGCCTGCAAAAACTCAAGCGCTTAACTACATGGGCTTTCCCTGCAGGATCCGAAAGGCAGGCTTGCTGATACTCTGTTTTCTCGTCTGACTCCCTGCAAAAAGGGAAAAGGAAAAAAAAGAAAAAGAAAAACCCCACACAAACCCAAAAAATCCTTGGAATTGCATGCACGAAGGCCAACTCCGTTTCAGGTCCCAGGCGCTAGATGCACTTAAAAGAGTTTCTCCCGAGCACGAGTGTCAACACATGAGTGGAAACTGAAAAAAAAAAAAAAAATCCCAAAGAGCTGCTGGGAATCCTTAGTTAAAAAATGCAATCCGCCGAGGCAGAGGTCGCAGCCCACCCCGCAGGCGCTCGGACGGCCCGGGCGCCGGGGCTGCAGAGGTCGCTCCCCCTCCCCCCGCCGCCAAAAGTGCCTCCCGGTGGCCCCGCGGTCCCGGCGACGTCCAGCGAGGCGGCAGCGCCCGGCGGCTCTTTCTCTGCTCGGCGCGGCTCCCTCGCTCGCTCCCCCGCTCGGCTCTCTCTCTCTCTCTTTTTTGTTCTCCTCAAACGCACACTGAGGGCCCCCGGAGGAGCGCCGCGGAGTCATTGGCTGCCTCCCATCATATGCCAGTCTAGACACTTTGGCGGCTCCGCGGCGCTGATTGTTGCGCAAACAAGGTTTCAAGTTTCTTAACTCTTAAAGGAGAACACGTCCCATTGCAGGGCCCGCGGCTCCGAGGGGCCGGCTCCCGGGGCGGGCCGAACCCCGGCCCCCGCCCCGGGCCTGCCCGCCCCCGCCGCCCGCCGCCCGCCCTCGGGCTCGCGGTGCGCCGCGGGCGCGGATGCGAGCGAGCACACGCGCGCGCACACCCAGCACACACGGTCACACACGCCACGGGCGGGGGACGCGAGGGCTCCGCGAACCCACGGAGTCTCGGACGCAAACTGGGGGCGCTTTGCCTCTCTCTGGCTGGGGCACAAGTTTTACAAACACACATTGCATGTTAGAGTTGATGCAAACTCCATCCCGGGGAATGCCAATAAAAATGGGTGTGCGTGTGAGCCTTGCTGGCTTGCGTCTCTTAGGAACGGAGTGCTGGTTTGGGGGGGGAGGGAGAGGTAGTGGGATCTTCCGTGATGGCCGAGGTCTCCACACCCCCTGAGCAAAGTCAGGGGTCGCTCTGCTGGGCCAAACGGGGTGCCGTGGGCTGCCCCGCACGCAGGGGCCCGGGGTAAGGAGCTGCTGAGGGTGGTGGGGTGGAGGCGGGAGCGTCTCCGTCGGCCGAGATCCTCTGATCGCCACAGCCCGCCCGGCCTCGGAGCCAGCGCTCCCGGGCCCCCTCCGGGCTGATGCTTCCTCCTCCCGCTTCCCCAGTGTACTCTCCGCACCCCGGGGAGGGGGTGTGGGTGGAGGTCGTGCTTTCTCCAGCGACATTTCGCCACTGAGATGGGGACGGCCTTGGGGACGGGGTCCTGCAGGGTCAGGGACGCGCTTGGGGGCGCGGTGGCGTCCGCGGGCCCGGCGCGGGAAGGGTTAAGGCCGCTCCAGGCCCTGGAGCCGGCGCGGCGGGGTACCTCCTCGGGCGCGCTCGCTCGTCCGTGGGTGGCAAAAGTTCAAGCTTGTAAAGTCCGGATTGGCCCCGCGCGGAGGGAAAAAAGGCCTGGTCCCCCCTCCCCCTCCGGGCGCGGCGCCGATTGGCCCGGCCGCGGGACGGGCACCGCCCTCTCTCCGGAGCGCGGCGGCCCCGCCCCCGGCACGGCGCCCCGCCCCTTTCCGGGCAGGAGCCGGAGGCCCGCCCCTCTCTGAATGAAAGAAATTCCGCTACTCCCATTGGCCCGGGGCTGGGCGCCTTCGGGGCTCCCGCTTGGGGGTTTCCCTTCCGGGTGCCCACGCGAAGAGCTGACCCTGCGAGTGGGCGACCCTGCGAGCACCCGCCGCCTGTGTACACTGGGGCCCGAGGGGGATTTGCAGGAAGGGCTCAGGACCATTTGGCGAGCTTTACCTAGGGCCAGGTACTTTTCGCCCCGCGCTCCCCGGTAGAGGCAGTTGCTCTCCCGAATGGAGCGCGGGGCTGAGAGGCTCCCCCACCCTCGTCATCCCCTACTGCTTTGGCCAAATCAAAATAGTTGTCTTGGCCTTAGTGTCTTGTTTGTAAAATGGGGATGAAGCCTGCCTAGCGTTGTTCACAGACACAGATAGATCCTAGGAGATGGTGCATTTTAAGTACACAAATTGCAAGTGATCAGCAGGATGAATTTTTCACAAGTGAACACAATGCCTGTGTAACCAGTACCCAGAAGACAAGGTAATGGGGGGGCACACCCCAGAAGCCCCTTTAAGTCACCTCCTGTACTAGGGGAAATTGATGCATGTTAAAATACAAAGAGAAACTCAATGTAATGTAAAGTATTTTTCTTATCAGGGCATTTGCTATTTTGGCTGTTGATTACAATAATAATAGCTCATTGTATAGAGTCATTACTATGGGCAAGGCAATGTTGGAAGCATTACAAAGATTGTAGTCATTTAATTCTCACAACAATCCTGATTAGGTACTATTATCTCTATTTTACAGATGAGGAAACTGGGGCACAGGAACTTGCCCTTTCAATTTGCTGTTGAAATGAAAATAGTGTTGAGAATGCTAAAATGATAAAACCAGAGGGGCATACTAAACTAGTATGGCGGCTCCCCCCCCCCCCCCCCCTCTCCGACAGCTAGCAAGTGGTCAGAGCACATCCTTTGGGGCAGTGATTTTTCAAAATGTGATCCATTGGGCCTGCTGAATCAGTGTTACGGGGTAAGGCCCCCGACTCCATACAACACAACTTTGGAGGTAAGTATAATTGTTCCACCAGTTTTCAGATAAGAACATTGAGGTGCAAAGGCATTAAGGAACTTGCCCAAGCTTGTAGTTAGTGGCAGAGGTGTAATTTGAACTCAGCCAGTTTGGAAGAAAGGGTGTGTGTGTAATGAGAAGCAAAGGAAATGGGACAGCAGGCAGAAGGTGGGTGATCAGCTTCCACAAATGCTCAGCTCCTACCCCCGGGGGCAAATCTGTGAACTGTGGCTCCTTCCCCTCCATCCCCATAACTCCCTGAGATACTATGGCGTCCCTTTTTGCAGGGTTCCTGAGGGACTGCCCTGAGGGATGTCCGGTGGAGTCTGAAGCAGTGGCCTTCCTGGCAGAGCAGCCTTCTTCCCTGGGCAGTAACTCGGATCAAGTACTTGCTCATCCAGAGATATGGGGGGGGGGGGGGGGGCAGCTGGATGAGCCGGAAGAGTGCTGAACCCAGAGTCATCCAGGCCTAAGTTCAGTACTGAGCCTACTTAACCTGTCTCAGCTCTGAAGCCTTAGGGTACTCCTCTGTGAAATGAGAACCGGAATCATGCTGGAGGTGGTTACCAAAATTAGGACAGGCTTACAGGAAGACTGCTTCTGAGGGGAGATAGCATCTGGAAGGGAAGAACAGTGACAATCTGCCCAAGGTCCTTGCATTCCCAGGGCCCATCCAGCCTAGCACAGGCTGCATTATGGCCACTAGGGGGTGTGTGCGCAGGGGCCCAGAAGGGCAGGGCCTCTGACCTCCAGCTCCACAGAACCCTCCCAGAGAACAAGCTCCAATTCCCCGGGGTGTAGGAGAGGTGGAAGGTGAGGTCCCAGCTGCCGCTCCTCAGGTGCCTGCCGCAAGTCACTAACAAAGTAAATCACAAAGAAGTAACTCTAACCCCTCAGATTCAAATCCACACCCTTCCCACTATTCCAGTTCCCCCGCAAAACATCCTGTGCTTCCCCTTGACGGTGCTTCTCACAATTCAGAGCCATGCAACTCCTTGTCATTCTCCTCTGCTTCTACAAAGCAAGCCCCGAGAGACGCAGAAACTCTCAGGCACAGGCCACCCACAGCAGCACTAAGGAAGTGGAGTCAGAAGCAGGCCATTTGATGCCATTCTGTCTGTACCCTCAAAGAAGCTAACTCACAAAGACAGCACCTGACCTGTTCCCCCCACCCCAGTCACTAGCACCGTGCCTGTCACACAGTGGGCACTCAGTAAATATTTGTTGCGTGGTTGAACTGAAATCCCTTCCTTCACCAAGCTCCATGCTCATTATCATCCTGCACCAAACACTTACATGCACCATCTCATCACATCCCCCCATCAACATAAAGAGGAAGTTATTCTTACTAAATCAGATTTTTTTAGAGAAGGAAACAGAGAAGTTAAGGAATTCATCTCTGGTCACACAGCCAATAGTTGGCAGAGTTGGTACTTGAACCCAGGGCTACTTGAGGTAAGTGTACTTCTTATTGCCTGTTCCTAGAAAAGAAAATGCAGCCGGGACCGGTTTGGCTCGGTGGATAGAGCGTCGGCCTGCGGACTGAAAGGTTCCGGGTTCGATTCTGGTCAACGGCATGTACCTTGGTTGCAGGCATATCCCCAGTGGGGGGTGTGCAAGAGGCAGCTGGTCGGTGTTTCTGTCTCATCGACGGTTCAATTCCTCTCTGTGTAAAATCAATAAAATATATTAAAAAAAAAAAAAAAAGAAAAGAAAAAATGCGGTTGTTTGCCTTTGGGAAGTTTCAGTTTAGCTGGAAAGATAAAAGGTGTGACACAGAAACTTGCAGGGCAAAACTTACTTCTTGGTGGCAAGAGGCAGGCTCTAGGGACCACGGGTATGAACTGAGCTATCACAGCGGGAGCCGGGGCCACCGCTCACTACAGTCAGATGGATGGGCAGGGAGACTGATTCACCCTAACCCCCTTTACAGGAGGCTGGTGAATAAGCAAGGGCCCAATTCATTAATTCTTGTCCGAAATAACTAGAGCCCCAGCTGACTAAGTCGGCCCCTTTGGAAGGTAAATCTGCTTGGCCAGTATGGGCCAAAATGGAGGAGTTGGGAGACCCTTGGGTGGTAAGACTACCCTTCTGAGACTTTGGTGAATGCTATGGACCCCCTCACTCTTGAAAAATGCATATGTGTATGAATGGAACTTTATGTTCATTCACTCAGCAAATACTTATTAAGCTCCCATTGTGTGACAGGCTGCCTTCTAGATGTTAGGAATCCTGCATTAAGCAAACACACACACACACACACACACACACACACAAAATCCCTTAGCTCCAGGGGGTGTAATGGGAGGTCAGATAGACCATAGACAAAGTAATCAGGTATAAAGTATTTTGGAAGGTCAAGGTGCAAAGATCGAAAATAAAGCAGAGAAGGGGAGAGAGGACTGTTAGGAGAGGATATGTGTGGTTCAGGGAAAATGTGGTTCAGGGATGCTTCCCTGAAAAGGTGACATTTGAGGAAGGTTTTGACAGTGATGGGCGAATCACTATGATGCTATCTGGAGAATGTTCCAGGCACAGAGAACAGCAGGATCCTGAGATGGGAGCATGCCCAGCATGTTCCAAAACTAACAAAGATGTGGTGAGATGGAAGAAAGACTGGAGGGCAGATAGTAGGCTCATACTGGACGTTTTTGGGTCTTTGGCTTGTCCTCTGAGTGGGCTGGGGAGCTCCTGAAGGTTCCTGGCCCGGGGCATGATCCTCTTTGTTTTAATTGGCTCCCTCTAGTGGTCGTGTGAAGAATAGACC